TGATAACCTATAGAATAACATAATTTAATGCAAGGAGAGGAGAGGCAACAAGATTAACAATGTCAGATATGGAGGATGCTTTAAGTAATAAGTGGGCAGACAATTCTTTTTTCCAAGAAGATATTGAAAATCTAGTATGTGGTCTACTTTGTGAAGAGTCTTCTTTGTAAACAAAGCAGTGAATGAATTGATAAAATATACATGAATAGTTATCTTTTTCCCTCAGAGGATGAAGGTTTTTATTAGAATGACATTTACTTACATGCGTATATGATAATATAAGTGGAAAAGTGTCTTCTTAGAGTCTTGTTCATTTTTTCAAGATTTGACTGATATAATTTTAGACTTGAAACTTTGCCTGTGTTTTTTTTTATGACAGGTCATAATTTTTTCCTAATTGGAAGAAATTCTGCGAAAGAATGAACGAGATCAGGTCAATTAAAAGGTGGGTCAAATATACAGGATAGTAATAGAATATATGTGACCGCGACTGCGAAAAAGGGTCCAGGTGAGTAAATCGAAATTAATTTTATTGTCTTGTTTAAACAGGGACACTTTGAATAACACACATACAAAATTTCAAGCAAATATTTTTAAAAATAAAGAAGATATAGGCCCAGGTATGCAGGCATTTTCCATTCATTTCATAACCTCATCAGAAGGTCAAACATATCTCAACACTTTCAGTCTACTAGTATATTCAGAACATCTTTTCTTTTTATTTAAACTCTTCTTAAAACTTTGCTTAGATATGATGAAAATAAATTGAAGCATTAAATCTACAGTTATTCTTACTTACATTTATTACATATAACTGTTTAAAATTCAGAAGACTGGCTTATTATCCTTATAAGTTTCCTACCTGCATCCATGACCTAAGAGAAGAAGGAAAAAACTATAATTAACAAAATAATTAACCATTTATTTTCAATAATAAAATCTAGAAATGCACAATAATTAATTATTATTAAGATAAATATGTAATCTGAAATTACATTCCAAAGTAACAAAAAGTTATTTTTCAGTCATGACAAAATACACCAGTAATCACATAAATTACAGAATGACAGAGGTCATGTGACAGCTGTAAAACAAAAATCACAAATGAATAGCAGATCACTATTATTTAAAATTCCTTTTAACAGACACACTGAAAATTGCGAACACGTACACGAATATGTACTGTTATGAAATTACACATGTATGAATCATTATATGTACTTTATATTATCAACAATTTAATGTATAATGTATATTACTTTACATTATCATCTTTACATTATCAACTGTATACAGTATAAAGAGTATAAAAATATTACTTGCATCTAATTCGCATATGAATTGGATGTTTTTTTTGTCGAAGACAGTGCAATACTCAGTTATCTTCCTTTGTTCAATGTCTAGTGCATGAAAGTACATCTAATCAAGAATGAAGAGTTACATTACCACATGGGATCCAACATTTTTTATACAATTAAAAAGGACAATCCATGTGTGGACATTCGTCAGTACTGGCAACCAGTAGGCCAAGAACCACTCGCTCCAACGAAAAAGGGACTTTGTCTTCGCCCAATCGAGTACAGAAAGTTGAAGTCTCATGTGACTGAAATAGGGAAAGCTATTCCTGACTTCGATTCACTCGTTCCATGTTTCATGCGCGATGATCATTTGAATCAATTAGGCCTGCTCCAGTGTCCTACCTGTAACCCGCTGGATTACACGAATTGGTGAAAAGAAACGGTGAATGGAAAAAAAAAACTTCTTAAAGAACAATAATTAGCATGAATATTGTAATATAATTATAAATATTACTAGAATTGTTTGTATGTTTTATCAGTATTGTTTCCCTTTCATTATGAATCGCTTTGCAGTAAAATCTTTGTCGATATATCACATATTATTTGCGCTTGGGGTGTAAAATGTAGTTTTATTCTTTTACATGTCAATAAATGAATTTGTTAAACATGATTCCTTTTTGTTGTATGATCTGTGTTATTGTTAAACATGTTTCCGATTTGTTATATAATCATATTACATCATCAGGATATGCTCATAAAAATTACAACTCGGAAAGGGCGTTTATCATTTTATGATTTAAACATGAGGCTGACTAACGTTGTTTATCAGGGAGAAATGAACTGTGTACTAAATCTCAACTTTTTGACTCAACAGTTAATTAATGTACGTTACGACCCACGGTCCTTTCCGGGTGTAATTTACGAAAATAGGAAAATCGGAGGAAATTGTTTAATATTTTCCAATGGGAAAATAAATTGTAATGGTCCTTGTGAAAGTTTCAGTCAAGGCCTAAAAAAACTGAGAAAGTATGCACGCGTCATACAGAAACTCGGATACGATGTACGTTTGCAAAACGTACGACTAGTCACTGCATCTGCTTGCCACAAATTATCTGGAAAAGTGAACGCAAGTTCCTTGTCTAAAAGTTTGAATTTTTCATACGACCCGGAGTTGTTTCCCGCTGTCATGTTACGACGAGAAGGTATTCATTTCACCTGTCATTTGCGAGGAACAGTTCTTATCACCGGTATCAAGAGATTGAAAGATTTAGACAACGTAGTATTTCCAACAATTTTAGAAATCGAGATGTGTTTATAAGAACAATTTCTTTTAATTTTTGATAGAGACATGTCGTACGAGAAATATTTAGAGTCCGTTTATTAAAACCCAAAGCATCCAGGCTCATTTGGGGGGTTGGAAAAATTATATCGTGCCGTGCGAAAAGAGGGAAAATATGTTCTGAGTCGAACAAAAGTCAAGAACTGGTTACAAAAACAGGAAACGTTTACTCTACATAGACAGATTAATAGAAAATTCAAACGTGTGCGAGTAGTCGTTCCAGAGATTGGTTATCAGTGGGATGCTGACACGGCCGTACTGAACTCGTATCGCAAAGAAAACGATGGATTTGGTTACTTTCTTTTTGTCATTGATGTATTTTCGAAATATGCCTGGACAGTCGCTTTAAAATCCACCAAAGGTAGCGAGATGTCACGCGCTTTAGCCTCTTTGTTGTCAAAAACTAACAAGCCTAAGAAAATACGAACCGACAAAGGTTCCGAATTCATGAATAGAAATGTTCAGAAGCTTCTAAAAGAAAATGGTGTGACTCATTTCTGTTCTCAAAACGAAAAGAAAGCAAACGTTGCCGAAAGAGGTATTAAAACTATAAAATCAAAATTGAGTCGATACATGACTCAAAATCAGACTCACCGATGGATCGATGTCTTAGCTAATGTCACAAAGAGTTACAACGCCACCTATCACCGAACCATCAAAATGGCACCCAACCAAGTGAAAAAGAACGACGAAGCATCTATATGGATGAGCATGTACGATCAAGCTCCCAGAACTAAAGTAAAAAAATCAGAATTAAATATATCTGGACCTCTGCGTTTTCATTTTAAAGTCGGCGAGAAAGTTCGCATTTCTCATCTGAGACAGCCATTTGATCGAGAATACGATGAGAGGTGGACAGGTGAATATTTCTTCGTTAAATCGCGCATGGTCAAATAGAGAATACCCCTTTATCAATTACAGGACATAGATGGCGAAGACATAAAAGGGACATTTTACGAAGGAGAATTACAAAAAGTACTCGTCGACAGAGACGCCATGTATAGAATCGAGAAGGTGTTGCGATATAAAGGAAATCAGGCTTTAGTCAAATGGTGGGGGTGGCCTAAAAATTTAACAGCTACATACCCAGATCGTCATTGAAGCATTATAAGAAGAGTTAATTATGTGGTATATAAAATATAATAATTAATAAAACCTAATCATAGCATTGAATTTACTTTTAAAAAATAAAAGAATGGAGCAATCTAATATAATGCAGAATGTCGATTTTCTGAGAGTTCTCAGACAAGCTAACCGCAGTCGACAGCGCACTATGATTCCTAGTGCAAGCGATCGACAAATATTAGCTCTTTGCGATGTCGTGGCTCACTTGCTGCAAGGACATGTTCCGATCTTACCTCGCGATCGCTCTAATTTCCGGCGTTGGCGGCTTGTTATGAGACAATTGATCAGTCCAAGGATTTCAATTGCAAGAAAAAAAGACACACTACTCTCTCACTGCGAACTGATTCCAAGACTTTTGAGGGATTATTACTTGGCGAGGATACTCATTCGTATTTTGAGAGACAGAGAATCTTAAGTTATAAGAGAGAAGAGCCACGATTCGCTTTAAACATGACTGTGTATTTATTTTTGGACGGGAAAAACTCGTCAAATTTTCATCCCTCTAATACTCCCGATGAATTTATCGTTACTCTACCTAAGCAATACATATTGACGGGTTCTTGGGAGTGCGCACTTTTAGAGGTAAACATTCGTCTGTCCAAAGAAAATTTGGTATCTCGAGTGTACGTATGCTGCGATATAGTTGAAGACAGTTATGTTCGAAATAATATGATACCGGTTCTGCGAGCTTGCGATGTAGCAAAGGACATTAAGGAGTCTTATAACCCTCCCTTTTACTTTGATATATCTAAACAAGACTTTCGTAACATCAGAGTTTTTATAAGAAACGAACACTTAAGACCTATTCCAACAAGTATTGAATCGTTTGCGTGTGTCTTGTGTTTGCGGAAAAAAGAAACCATGGGCTCAGTAGAGGTGTACGACTACGATAAAATGCAATGGGTTCCTTACGTTCCCGATTTTAATAAATGGATAAAGCATTTTGAAGACATTTCCGCTGGCAGGGTTCGTCCGGATTATAAAGGGAGGTACATTGTGGGGAGCGGCTCGCAACACCGAAATGAAACTCCTTCCAGGGACATCACCCTTCCGTGAAATTAGTGACCCCAGTAGCTCAGGCAATAGAAATGGCTAAATCGGAACTGGAACGTGAAAACGACAACTCCTCACCGAAAATTTATAAGAAAGCGAGAAATGTATCGTCCACCGGGAAGACCTGCAAACTCTAAACCTAGAACCAAGAAGCCAAAGCTGACCACGCAATTCGACGATTAATCATGAACGAAAACCATCTGAACCAGCTCTCCATCTTTGAACCTCCGCCGACGGACACGACCATACTTACAAGAGAATGGGTAGAGTTTAGACCTATCAATCAAATTTCTGAGTATTCTGCTTTGGAATTCAACATTCCTCCTCTCTCCACCGGATACATGGACCTTCAGAACAGTCGCTTAAAAGTTAAGCTAAGAATACTAAGCCCGCTGAACACCCCCATCACCGAAGAAAATGCCGTTGGTTTGACTAACTTACCTCTACACAGCATCTTTTCTCAAGTGGACACTAGTCTACAGCAGACTCCAGTGTCACAGCTGGGAACGAATTATCCCTACAGGGCCTACATCGATACCTTACTATCTACATCCTCCGAAAACTACGAAGTGCGTCAGTCTCAGCTCTACTTTAAAGACACCTCTGATCCCGACGATACGGACCCGATCAAAGGGATAAACATCGGTTTATTTCAAAGATATCAGTTTACCAAAGGTGGAAAAATTTTGGACTTGGAAGGTCCCTTACACGTAGATATTTTTCAACAAGATCGTTTGGTTTTGAACGGGGTCGCACTTTCCCTAAAACTATGGCCTAGTAAGGATTCATTTAGATTAAAGTCAGCTGAGGGTAAAGATTACAAAATACAAATTATCGATGCCAGTTTTAAACTCTGCATTCAGCGACCTAATCCCGCCTTTACCATGGCGCATGTGAAAATGTTGGAGAAGTCCCCTGCCGTGTATCCCTACTTATTTTCTAATTTAAAAATTGCTTCCATCGCTAAGGGAGAATTCAGTTTGACCATAGACGACGTGTTTCAAGGAGAAGTTCCGTCTACGCTCATTCTGGGAATGGTGTCCAGTAGCGCCTTTAACGGGGACTATAAGAAATCTCCTTATAACTTTCAACATTTTAATTGTAACTTTGTAGCTTTCTACGTTGACGGGCAATCACTTCCCTCTAAACCTATACAACCGAATTACGACTCAGGCGCGTACTTGGAAGCTTACCAAACCCTTCTTCAAGGTAGAGAGCACGTTAGTGTAGAGCGACGGGAATATCCCATTGGAAATGCATTATATGTCTTGAATATTAATCCCTACATCGACTTTAATACGAAGCGGAAAGGTCATTGTCGCTTAGAATTAAAATTCGCTCTACCCCTTCCCGAGAGTGTGACTTTAATGTTATACGGAAAATTCCCACAGGTTCTCCACATTGATCAGTCTAGGAGCATTATATTCAAATGAACAATTACGAATTGAAACATTATTTATCATCATACGACGTTCAAGTCGTATGCAGCGACGACCTACCTGCTGTTGCAAAAAAGCACCAATTTTGGATCGTGAATACAGACGAATGCGGGGGAAAAGGTTTACATTGGGTCGTTTTTCATTTTCCCTCAAAAGGATCTATAGAGTTCTTTGATTCCCTCGGAAATCCCCCGGAACATTATCATAGGAGATTTCAAAGTATTCTAATATTCAATGGACCGAGATATAAATATATCGATTCCAGAATCCAGTCGGTGACTTCTTCCTTGTGTGGACACTATTGTATCTATTTCATCTTACAAAGAATTAAAGGACGTTCCATGAATAACATTGTTCATGACTTTTATAATTTAAATCCGCATGCTAATGATCGCTTGGTGTCTGATTTTATAAATGATATGTATTGATTAAAAAAAAATTTCAAATAAATTATGTATGGGGGTTTTTTTTAATTTCATTTTGCTCCAAACCAAATATCATCATTTAAAAAAAAAATTATTGTTTGTAGTGAGGAATTGAGGGAATACAAAAAAGGAATTATTAACAATGACGTTGTATGGATTATTGGGGAAATAAAAAAGTGAAATTTTAAGTAAATGTGGATTAACTCTATTGATGTGTTGTTTCAGTAGACGATACATGTAGTGTCAGTGGATGAAAAAGAAAACACGTTAATTAACCAACAGACATTATTTACACAGATAAATCTATTAAGTTCTTTTTGTAATAAACTCAAAACTATCACTTCATTTGTTACAATGGAATTGTTGTGTAATATCAAAGAAGAAGGATGTTATTACACCTTCTCAAACTGACCACCCGTGTAGCACTTGAGTAAATCAGAGTAATAACAAACTAAACAGATTTCTTATAAAAAGTCCTGTATTAAAACTCGACCAGTACAGAACCCTCACTCTATACGAACCCCCCTTCAAAAAATCATGACCCACAGAACGAATGAACAGACCGGAGAGGTGAGGTGGGGTTACATGTATGCACGATTTCCAATAACGTATTTTGAATGCAGACTTTGCTGCTAGGAGAAAAGTGTAAGCTATGTGTGCTACACATGCAAGAAAATAGCTTGTTGCATGGCGTGTTTCCAGCGTTTGAAGAAGTCCGGTGGCTGTCCTCTCTGCAGGAGCCGAACAATACCTGGTAAATTATTATGATTGTTAATTGGTGTACAGTAGCGTGGTATAGATTTTCCCTTTTAAAATTTTATCATTATTTTTTTTTCTCTCTTTCAGACCCTGCTTCAATTTAAATTTCATTAAAACAACGGGGGGGGGGGGGGGGTCATTCTACCTTTTACTTATTTTAAGACTAAATTAATTACGCTATATATATATATATATATATATATATATATATATATATATATATATATATATATATATATATAAAAAATATTTTTTTACTTCTCCTTGACCATTGGAGGTGTCTAATATGTTTATTTTAACTCGCGTTTGATCATACATAATGGGAGGGGGGGGGGTAAAAAAAACCCCTACAATTCATTAATCTCTTCTTTAACTGTGTTTATTTCTCGATGTTTGTATATTCAAGGGAAATAAAAGTCATTCACATTAAAGAATTAAGTTTTAGAATACAATCGAGGTTTAAGGGTAACTAAATTTTAAAAATCCAACAGTAAAATCATCTTTTTTTTTTTTAAAAAAAAAAACAAACAAACAAAAAAAACGTAATTAATAATACTACTTTTCTTCAGTAAAATCACTGACAATTTATAAAAAGTCACGATTTACTATTTTTTGAATAAATAAAACGTAATACTTTCACGAGAATAAAGTCGTAATGTTCAGCAAACTAGATTCAAGACTGTACTAGCTAGAAATCGTGTATAATCATTCCTACTACAGACGTATATACACATTGCGTAATATCCCCATCATGCAGCTGGTCCGCTACGCGAGGGGACAGTCTTCGAGTAACATCAAAGGCGGCGCTAGCGCCTGGGTGACTCGACTTTCACAAGAGGGCAAAGGAATGGAATTCTTCAAATTACTGACTTTGAGCTTCTACGGAATCGAATAATTGAAGTGGCATATAACTAAGATTTATTGTTTTTAATAGTTATGACATTTATTAATCGTTTATTAATCAATTTCTTTGTAAATAATTATTTTTCTTAACCTTGAGGCAACTTTACCAATATGGACACTTCCACTGGTCAAGGACCAGTTCCATTTTATTCAACAGGGATGTTGAACGTCTTTTATTAGTTTTAAAGAACTATGTATGTACCTTATATCCAATTTTTTTTTCCCTATTATTCTAAAAACAATAATACCCTGTACTTATCAACTGCAAGAATTTACTTTTTTGGGGGAAAAATTCATGACAACGCAATTTAAATAACCATTCCACCCCTAATTGGAATGTGTCATTATTTATTAAATAAGAGATGAAGGAAAAAATTCGGCCATCTTAATTTCAAATTCGAAGAGACAATGTTCATGCTAATCTTAGTAATTCTGGTGGTTCACGTTGATGCGCGGTGCGGGGTGTCAGAGGGGGTGGTGCAGTGTCGGGACTGGAGGGAGTCTGAGCGTGGTAACTACCCGATGGCAAACTTCATCATCCTGGAGAGGGCGATGGGGAAGATTAACGTCGAGGAATACCCAGCATTGACCAGGCTAGTTATCCGCGACCCGCAAACTAATTGCGATGCCATCACCGCTAACGCCTGGACGACGGTGAGGATAGGCTCCTCACGTGTCAGGTAATTATATTTTTTTATTTATTTATTTAATTTTGTTATCTATGTCATGAAAAAATTAACAATAATTTTAAATTTCAAAGGAAAACTTGTCAGGGAAATAAATCGTCAAGAATTTTTAATTGAAACGATGTTATTTAAAAAAAAATTAAAAAGTAAATAAAATTGAAATTTATGTTTCTCTCTTTTTTTTTTCAGAACGGCAAGCACAGCAGTGGGGTCACAGACAGTGTTGCAACGACCACCCTCAGAACCGTCGAATTGACAGCTATTACATTCAGTAAGTTTTGAATTAAAAAATAAATAATTTTAAATAAATAAAATAAAGGATTATTTAAATTACTATTATATAAAAGTTGTTTCTAAAGCCAACCTTTGTTTATTTAGACAAACCTTGGATATATGTTATCCTTCGAGGGACGGGTGTAGTGGTATTGATTTTCTCAGTGATGATCGTTTGTGCGATTAAGAGAAGGTGTCTGAGGAGGCGGGTGGAGCTCGAGATCGAGTCCCAGTCGCTAACCGAGTTTGACGCGGTTGTCATGAGGGATTTTAAGAATGATTAACTTTTTTTAGTGATCATTCTGACGGTATGTGTGAGGAGAAGAGGCCAAGATGTACATATTCGAGCCCCCACCAGTCATGCCAGCGCCTCAACCAGCACCACTCCGCCGTTCGACAAGACAGAGGCGCCCACCCACCAGACTGACATATTGATTTCCTTTTGTAATGATAATTTTTATAAACATGTTGACTTTTCTGAAATTCTTTATGTATTTAATAAACGAAATATAAATATTTGAATTATTTGTAATCTTTGTATTATTGTGCCAGTGGTTCTTTTGTAAATTTTGAGTACATTGCTACAGTCTGTTTCAACCGTTAACAGAATTGAAAAAGACAGGTTGAAATTTTAAACATTTTTAATTTTTTGCAAAAATTGCAAACATTCAACTTCCGGAAGATTCTCCTCCCTTCCAGCTCCTGTCGCAGTGCTTCCAAACTTTCTTCAAGCCTCAGCACACGTTGCTGAATACTTTCTTCTGCGATTGTCTGGAAAAGATAAATTATATTGTAATGAATAGGACAGGAAAACTTGAGGATGTATAAAACAAATCTGTGTTCAGTAAGTTTATTTCCTACGAAAAGAGAAGGAAGGAAAAAACTGAGACCTGTATTTTCTAAAGAAAAAATTTACGACTACGAGCCAAAAAAAAAAAAAAATTCTTGCTGATTGGAAAATATGCAAAATTGATAATTTTGTTTAAAATTATACTTGCTAAAAGTATCTTTCTACACAATTAAAAAGATTTTTTTAATATAGAAAAAGAAAGGTATTAGCAGAATTAAATTTGGTCGTAGTCGTAAATTTTTTTCTTTATAAAACAGGTCCTCTAGATAATCGTGGTTGGATCATCCTTAAAAAAATGTTTGTTTGTGCTTTCCCGACTCAAATTTTTAAAAATATTTGTTGACAAGATAAAAGGATTAAAGAAAAATATATTTCGTTTTCTGGAATGTAGAGAAATTGAGTCGGTCGGGAGAGCACAGCCAAACAATTTTAAAGATGACCTTACATGAAATACATTAACCAGTGGCGGATCCAGGAATTTCGTAACGAGAGGGTGCAGTAAAAGGTAGGGGGAGGGGGGGCAGTAATGAAGCCCCCTCCCCCAGTAGGTCTTTTAAGGCCATGGTCCTGATGGGGGTTCGGGGTGAATCTCTCGGAAGCTTACACATTTTTTACATATAAGAAATGTTATTCCTTGATTTTTTTAGGATAATGAACATATATAAGTTTTATATACACAAAAAATTCAAACAGGGAGGGGGGGGGGCGCACGCGCGGTGCGCATTCCCTGGATCCGTCATTGTTTACTTTCGGATAACACATGACGAATTCAGTCATAACCCGGAAAAAGATTATCCATGTAAAATAATGTAATGCATATGTATGACTAATGATGTACTATATAAGACTGAGGAAAATGTACTCATTGTTTAATTAGGTGTTCAATGTCATTTGAATGAACGACTGTGAAATATGCAGACATTTTGTGCTTTATGTAACAAGTCCTCTATTACTGTTTCTAATTACAATCGACATTATAAAAATGTACACGAAAAGACAAATAGTTTTCATTGCGATTTTTGTGAAAAGGTACTAAATCGTAAGGACAATTATGTACCTTACAGTACTCATATCTTGAATCTTTTTTATATCAAATTC